CCCACCCCGAGGAGTCAAAGCGTGACACCCCTTTGAAGGGGCACGTCCTGCCGGGTGGCAATGCCCGTTTCTGCCTCTCCTTGGCACCACTGCAGTCGTCTGTCCTGTTGGCGGGTTCCTAAAAGGCCTCCCCTTTCCCCAAATGCCCACGGAGAACAGCCCCTGTGCTCCTGCTGGGACCAAAATACCAGCTCACACTTACAACCTGATTTTCCCCATCACAGCCGGAGACGTGTGCGTGGCTGTGCGCGCGCGGTTATTTTAGTAACAGCCAAGCAGTGGGCAGGGTGGGAGGTGTAGGGACGGGTTCTCTTTTTAGCCTGCTTAATACACTAGCACTTTTGGGTGCTTTTAAATGAACCTCCCTGGGGTCAATGCACAAGCTGGGGACAAGTGCCAAGCTGGCGTCGGGGGTGGGTTCGCTGTGGGACACCCAGGGTGCTACATGCTGCCCTGGTCCTGCCCGGTCTCCAGCCAGGGCTGGTCTGGGAGGTCCCATCCGCCCTGGAGGAAGCCAGCAGAGCTCCTTGGAGGCGGCTGCCCTGAGCTACCTGGTGCTGGTGCAAACAAGGTTTCTCTCCCCGTCTCCCTCCCCACACCTTCAGAGCTGTGTTTTCTGCCAGGTCTGTGAGGGGAGATGGGGCAGAAAAGCGTGGTCACTCCTAAGCACTGTTCCAGGCCCCATCCGTGGGAAGCAGGAGGGGCCTGTGCCAGCCGGCATCCATGTCAGGACAGCTGTCAGGGCAGTTGGGTGCCAGGCTGGGCTGGGTGCCTTCAGTGTCACCCCTCACGGGGGTGCAGCTCTCTGCAGTGTCTCCCTGGGCCACCAGCAGGGTCTGGGGGGGGCTGTCTTCTGGCCATCCCCCTCCATTCCCAGCCCCCCAACAGCCACGTGCTGCAGAGCTCACAGGCCAGAGGTCCTGGGTACCACTGGCTACAGATGGGCCTGGGATTCTGGCCTGCATAGGCCTGCTTAGGGCAATTCAGGGCAAAGTCCCGTGGGACAGAAGCACAGGTTCTCCCTACAGCTTTGCCGGTGACTGAACTCTGTGGTCCTGGTTGAGTTTCCCTCTTGGTGAAATGACAGATATGACCTGATGGTGGAAGTCCAAGGTAGGGGGATGGCTGGGTAGACAGGAGCCTCCCTCCTGCAGGCAGCCATGCCCTCGCCCACAGTGTGCATATCTGCTTCCTGGCCCAGAGCATGGACACGACTGTGGCAGAAGAGGTTCCACTGACCGCCCCACTCCATCCTGCCCCCACTACAGGCCGACTAACACCCAGCCCTTCCTCCTAGCTGGGATGGTGGGGCTTTGCACGAGGGGTGGCATCAGTGGGCAGGGCTGGGCCCTTGGCTGTTCTCTGTCCCCCTGCGGGCTGGCCTGGCCCAACCAAGTTGTCACAGGGCCCAAGACTCACAGTGTATCTGCCCGAGGCCAAGATGCCACGGAAAGCCGGGCTCAGGCCGCTGCCCCTGGTGCAGAGGGCTCAGGCCAGCTTTCTCTGTGGTTGAGTGGAGGCCCTCGTTGTGGCCACCCCTCCACTTCCATCTGTGCCTCAGGTCCCTGATGGGCTGGGAGGTTGTGGAGGGGGTTGGCCTGGTGCTGCTGCGGCTGCAGGTGCCTCCCTGGGCAGGACGTCCCCCTCTGAGGACCCTCCTCTCTCAGCTGCATCCCCAGGGGTACAGTTTACAAAGCCCATTGCTGACTGGGGTTCAGCTTGTCTGTTGAGCACACTTTTTTTTTCAAAAAGTTTCTTAGCCAGACAGGGTGGCTCACCTGTAATCCCAGCACTGTGGGAGGCCGAGGCAGGTGGCCAGACAGGGTGGCTCACCTGTAATCCCAGCACTGTGGGAGGCCGAGGCAGGTGGATCACCTGAGGTTGTGAGTTCGAGACCAGCCTGGCCAACATGGTGAAACCCCGTCTCCACTTAAAAATACAAAAATTAGCCGGGCATGGTGGCGTGCACCTGTAATCCCAGCTACTTGGGATGCTGAGGCACAAGAATCTCCTGAACCTGGCAGGAAGTGGAGGCTGTGGTGAGCTGAGATCATGCCACTGCACTCCAGCCTGGGCAAGAGCAAGATTCCATCTTAGGCCGGGCGCGGTGGCTCAAGCCTGTAATCTCAGCACTTTGGGAGGCTGAGGCAGGCGGATCACAAGGTCAGGAGATCGAGACCATCCTGGCTAACACAGTGAAACCCCGTCTCTACTAAAAACACAAGAAAATTAGCCGGGCGTGGTGGCGGGCACTTGTAGTCCCAGCTACTCGGGAGGCTGAGGCAGGAGAATGGCGTGAACCCGGGAGGCGGAGTTTGCAGTGAGCCGAGATAGCGCCACTGCACTCCAGCCTGGGGCACAGAGCAAGACTCCGTCTCAAAAAAAAAAAAAAAAAAAGATTCCATCTTAAAGTTTCCCAAGCCAGTGTCTCTAGGGCATGAGGGCTCCAGTCCCCAGTGTGAGGAGAGGCGCTTAGGCCTGGGAGCTGATACCCAGGACACAGCAGGAGGTGCCCCTGCCAGGTGTGGTGCAGAGCCCCGTGGGGCTGTGAGAGACCTGAGGATGGCATCTGGACGTGTTTCTTTCACGTTTAAAGGGAATGAGATAGGCTCATTGGCTGCTTGTCCCCGAATCCAAATGGAAAACCACCAGCTGGGGCCAGGCAGAGGCACCTGTTGCTGCCGTGCCGAGTGGCTGTTAGCAGGGGCCTCCCGAGGAAACCATGCCGACGCAGGAGTGGCTAGAGCCTGCCCCGGCCACAGATGGGGCCACGATGAGCAGTGCTGCCCAGGGCATGTGGGGGCAGCTCCTGGAGACCACAGGGAGGGGAGGTGGGCACCCAGATGTGGGCAGGACTGGACCAGGAGGAGGGGCCGCAGCTTGCTCAAGGCAGGGCCTCCGCCACGGGGCTGGAAAGCTGGGAAGGGGCGAGGGCGTGATGGGTTCCGAGTGCCCCAGATAATGGCTGTTTTGGGCCACATGCTCAAGCAGGTGCCCAGGAAAGACCAGCCTAGGTGCAGGGATCAGGGCCTTCAACGTTGGCTACGATGCTGCTTCACTGGGGGCACAGCCTGGGAAAGGGTGAAACTGACCCGGGAGACGAAAAGGCCCCGCTAGACAGTCCAGCAGGAGGCTGCTTCTCTCCCACGGGATGTGGCATCCAGGCTAGGCAAGGGGACCACAGGCTGACGTCCCCAGAGGGAATTCTCCTGGCAAGGCCGTGACCCCACTGGGGCCCTGAGAAGTGGCCCCTCGTCTGCATCCCTCCTGCGCGGTGAGAACAGAGCAGGCTGCTGTCAGCCCATAGCTCCCATGTGTCAGGCACTGCTCTGACAGTGTGGCCCTGGAGAGCTGACTTCATTCGGGATTTCTGCTGTTCTTTGTGCAGCTTTAGCTCTACTGAGAGAATGCTTGTACTGTTCACTTCACCTGGCCACCGTGTACAAGTCAGGGATTTGAGTGTATTCTGAGTTGTACAACCATTACCTCCAATTCTATCTAGATCAGCTCCATCACCTTCAACCTCAGGGCCGTTAAGCAGGCACCTGCTGTCCCCTCCCCAAGCTCCCGGACTTGTCTGCTTTCTGCCTCTGGCCGGGTCCTGGCGCCTGGCTTCACTCCTGCACCCGTCCCTGTGGCGTCTGCTGTTGCATGGCCCGTTTTGCTGGCTGCGTTCATCCACCACCAGACAGCTGGCTTTGCTTCCACTTCGTGACTGTTGATTCCTGCTTCGGGGAGTGTGCACGCAAGGTTTTGAGTGGAGGCTCCATGGACCCGGCTCTCTGAGCAGCCTCCTGCCTTGGGCAGGTCCCCAGGCAGCTCCTTTCCCGAGTGGGGTCTGCATCTCCTTCCAGGCAGCTGTGAGATGCGGAGTGTGGGGAGGGGTGGGGGTCAGGGGCAAGTGTCCTCTGGAAGGAGCGGGTATCCCCTGCCATTCCTGGGGCTGGAGTGGGTATCCCCTGCCATTCCTGGGCTGGGGCCATCTTCCAGGAGGCACCCATTCCCTGTGCAGCAGGTACTGTCTGTATAGGGCGGCACCCACCCCTGCCCTCCCAGGGGTGGGGGGCTTCCCAGAGGGGCCACACTGCCCCTCACCCCTGCCTGGTGTGAGCCTGAGACAGTGGGGTGCGGGACTGCAAGAATCACTGCAGAAGGGTGCCCCAGGAAGAGGCTCTGGTGCGAGGCGTGTCCTGCCTGGCCCCAGCAAGCACAGGGAAGGCGGCAGCTTGGTCCAAGTGCCCGGGCTGTGTGGCTGAAGGGAGAGCCTGGCACTTGGGGTTCCGGTAGAGGCTGAGGACTCGTGAGCCACTTCAGGGAGGTGGTGGCGGCAGCACTCAGGACTGTGACCTGGGTCCGAGGCACCTGCAATTGGACACAGCCCTCCAGAGCTAGCTGGCACGAGGAGTTTGTTGAGGAAGCTGTGCTCACAGACTTTGGGAGGCCTCTGCTGAGTCCCAGGGCCCTCTCTGCTGGGCTGCATCTGACACGGGCTATGGCAGCCACGCAGGCGCTCCTGAGGTTCTGATCACAGTGCTCCAAGGTCCCAGTTCCACAGAGCAGGAGAAACCTGCTGACCGGCACGCACGCAGCACGCACTGAGACGTTTGCTTACAGAGAGGCCGGGGTGGTTCTCTCCAAGGGGACCCCGGGAAAGCTGGTATTCAGGGTCTCAGGGCTGCAAGGGAATTCCAAGACTAACAACTTCAGACTTACAGGCCAGTGGCTTCCTCCCCAGTCTGGACTTCGAGGGGCTCAGGTTCCGGTGGGCCTTTGGTGTCCAACCGTTTCAAACATCCTCCTGCACACCTCCACCCCCAGGGTCTGCCAGTTTGGTGAAGAGACGTGGCTGGGAGGCGTGGTGGCCCAGGCAGAGCCCCCGTGGTTGTCGCTCACCTTTCTCCTCGCTCTCTTCCAGGGCTCGGCTCCTATCCTGGTGGCCATGGTGATCCTGCTCAACATCGGAGTCGCCATTCTGTTTATTAACTTTTTCATCTGATGAGACTGTCGCGGTAGCAAAAATAGAGAAAGGGTAGGAAAAGGGGACATTAAAAGCAAAACCACAAGAAGGGAAAGACCGCAGCTCGGACAGCCCCGCGGCTCCCAAGTCCTCTCACAGAAGAACCACGTGATTGGGTATCACTCACAGTTTGCCTTTTTTTCTGGGTAATGTTTTTTGGATTTTAGCCAAAATTCTTTGCTTGTATAACACTCTGCTGTGTGGCATGGCAGAAGGAGGCCAGCACGCAGCCCCTCCAGCTCCACGTGGAAGCAGAAGGGATCCCGGCACATCAGTGGTAACAGTGGACGTCGTCCTCGTGGTCACATGTCCCTCCTTGGGTGTGGACGGAGGGCAGCCCGGGGCGGAGCCCCAGCCCCGCACCCCTGAGCAGCAGGGCTGGCTCCCGCCGACATGAGCTTGGAAAAGTGGATTCACTGCTTCCTCAGTCTAGAACAGACGGGTGACGAGTACGGGCGGGAGGCGTGGGGCAGGGTGGCCCACCCCAGCGGGCAGTAGCCCGGCCGGGTTCTGTGTGAGAGCTGTGCTGCACACCGGAGGGAGGGGAGGGGTCGGCCACCTCCTCCCCGTGAGACGGATGCAGGTCCTTCCCTCTTCTCGGCACTGCCCCCGGCCTTCCGTGAGAAGCCGACTCCCCACACCGAGTTTTAAAGCAAAGCCCTTTTCTTCTGCTGCCCACTCACCGTGGGCCCCATTCGGCCGTTTCCCCCACCAGACCCCAGGGAAGCCGGGGCCCACTCCAGTCTGCCTGGGCTCAGCGAAGCACGGAAGCCGAGGGGCTGTGCCGTGGAGTCAGCCTCGAGCCGGGGCTCTGGGTGTGTGCACTTGGTGTGCAGGGTGGACGCATGGGCTTCCGTGTCCCCAGGAGTAAGGGCCCTAAAGGAAGCCTTCTCCCATGGTTACCTCCACGGGTTTTCACATCTTTGTACTGTGCCTGCCTCAACTTCCCCTAACAGATATGCATATTCCTTCCAGATGCCTCAGTGCTACACCAGAGTGGGCCTGGGCCCAAGACAGGAATGCGGTTCAAACCCAGTGGCTTGAAACTTCCTGAGAAATTGTAGCATATCCAACCCCCCAAAATGTACAATGTAACTTGTTTCAGTCCAACAAAAACAGGTTCCTTATGTTTCTGCCTTCTCCACCAGGGTCACTCCATCACCCAAACAAAAGAACAAGGTTTGCCAGGATGTCCGAGTGCCCCCGGCCCTTGTGTGCATGGACGTGCCTGAGGGGTCCAGGCACGGCCACGCGCAGGACTCCTGTGCCCAGGGAGGCACTGCAGGGATTCCCCATCCGGTCGCCTTGGGGCCAGCCTGTCTTATGGACTCTGCCTTGCTTTGCTTATGTTTAGCTGTTTCTCTGCTACCTTTCGAGCAGACTTCTTTACTACACTGCACTGGATTGCTATATTTTTAACCAGAAATAAACTAAAGATTAGAGCATGTTCCAGTTAAATTCAGTTTTATTGTTTTCCGTTATATGTTCACTCCCCGTTCCTTCTCGCAGCCTGGTCTGGGGGGCACAGGAGAGGGAGGGAGGACTGAAGGTCACATACGTTTCTGATGATGTCGCTTTCTAAAGGGATGTGACATCTTTTTGTATATCTTTTCCGTTTTTTAATATCAAGTGGTTGCTGCAGACCGGAAGTGAACCAAATAAAGACTCCTGCTCTTTGCAGCTCTTGCCATCACCCATGCAGGGAGATGGGTTTTGTAATTGTCTGCAACTCTTTGCAAACATCACAGCTGCTTTTGTACATTCCAGTAACTGCATGACACAAAATGGTACCTGTGAGCAGGAGACACGTTCACACCATGAGACAAGCATGGAGGCAGGTGTCCCTGAGCGAAGCCGTGTGGATCCAGGCCTAGGGACCGTCAGCTGCTGCCGTAACACAACCTAGAAAACCAAGCCGGCCCCTTGCCTTCCAGCAGCAAGGGCAGAGGGCAAAGCCACTTCCCTGTGAATTCCAGGAGGATTCAACCAAGGCTAAAATGCCCCGGGTCTGAGAGAATCGAACCTTGAATTGGTTTCCACATGGGGTGATTAAGAAGGCTGCTTCCCACCTGTCTGGAGTCTCGGCCTTCCCTGACAGGCGCTCAGTCCTTCCGCCCAGGCCCGGGGGACCTGCTCCCCTCCACAGTTGGGCAGGGCAGGGCAGCGTGTGCCGGGTTGGCTGCTGCTGCATGGAGAATTGGATGAGTTTTCATTAGCCCGAGAGCAGACTGGTGAGAGCCATTTTCCTCCCCAACAGCTTCTTCCATGCTTTACCTGTGCATCCCAGAGGCCAGGAGAAAGTGGCATCCCCTCCGGATGGCAGCATGGTCTGGGGGGGGTGGGCATGGACAGCCCATGGGCCAGGCTGGCATCTCCCCACCCTTGCAAACCTGCAAAACAGATCCACCCCTGGCCCAGGAACAGATTAGCCCCGCCCTGGAAGAGCTGGAAAAGACCGTCTGCCCCGGGGCCTCTGGGGAGCCTGTGTGTGCCCACGGCTGGCCCGTTTACCATGGGGAGCCTGTGTGTGCCCACGGCTGGCCCGTTTACCAGACTCTGCACACTGGATGGACTGGTGCTTTCTGAAGTTCAGTAGCGCACAGGATGTGCCTGGATAATTTCGGGAACTTGAAACATTCTTTATCCATTCTTTTGGATCTAGAACCATTAACTCACAGGATTCCCAAAGATACAGATTATGTGTGCAAAGCCTGAGCCAAGCTAACTGACATGATGGTGGTGACGCAGAAAAGCTGGGCAGGGCTGGGCGCAGTGGCTCACGCCTGTAATCCCAGCACTTTGGGAGGCCGAGGCGGGTGGATCACAAGGTCAGGAGATCGAGACCAGCCTAACCAACATGGTGAAACCCCATCTCTACTAAAACAAATACAAAAATTTGCCAGGCGTGGTAGCAAGTGCCTGTAGTCCCAGCTACTTGGGAGGCTGAGGCAGGAGAATCGCTTGAACCTGGGAGGCGGAGGTTGCAGTGAGCCTAGATCATGCCACTACACTCCAGCCTGGGCGACAGAGCGAGTCCATCTCAAAAACAAAAAAAGATACACATCATAGAATGACGGGCCCTCCCCGCATGCACTCAACTCGCTCCCCTGTGAGGCCCCAAGCCAGGCCATGGGCCAGCGGTCCACGGGGTGTCCACACTCCAGGCTCTAACCACGCCCCTGGCTCTAACCACGCCCCTGGCTCTAACCACACTTGCTCCTTTTCACTTTCAGAACCACACGGCCACCCGGTCTCACTGAGGGCCATCAGTCACCCCCAAGGCACTGCAGACCTAGTGGGGAGAACCAGAGGGAAATGAAATGTTTGTTTTTCATACTTTTTCAGTTCAAGTTTTTGATTGTCCTTTACTCCTTCCCCGGGAAGTTTTTTCATCCACTGAACCCGTGGGAGTAAAGAGGCCCTGGGGCCTGTGGTGGCCCCCAAGCTGCTGGCACTCCTGGGCCATGTCAGGGCGGCACATCCAAGACCTGCCCTCAGTCTTCACAGGGCAGTGTGGATTTCACGTCGTGTGTGCGACAGAATGCTCGGCAGGAGAGGAGGGGAAGGGCCATCTGCCTCTTCTAGGTCACGCTCAGTTTCTCTGACTCTTCCTAAGTTTGGTCCGACTATTCTTGCCTTTGGTCTTGGAAACCTGACATCAAGGTGCCTAACAGATTTTCAGACGTCACCTTCCATAGCTGTGGGTGCTCTGACAGTTTCTCCCTTCAGCCAGCTGACAGCACCGGGCGCGGCAAGCTTCAGGACATCATGACGCTCCCATCCCGCAGTGCCTTGAGAACCTCTCCCAGGCCAGGGTCTGCCTCTAGCCCAGGACCAGGACCCCGATTCCAGATAAGGCAGAGGGAGGAGGGCGGATGGTGGAAGAGAGGAGACTGGAGGTTGGAGGTTGGAGGGAGGAGGGCGGATGGAGGAGACTGGAGGGAGGAGGATGGAGGAAGAGAGGAGACTGGAGGTTGGAGGGAGGAGGTGGGAGGGAGGAGGGAGTCAGTCAGCTCAGGCACCTGGTTGGCTTCTCTCACGCCCAGGCTGTGTGTCAGGTGAGGCAGTCGGCACACAGAAGCTGAGGAAGCAACTGTCCCCAACTGCCGAGGAGGCCGCCGGCTCGGCCTTCAAAACAAGCGAGGAAAAGTGCGGCTGCCATCGTTGAAAAGAAAAAAAGCCAGGCTGTATTTTCACCACACGTCCCCTGCCTGGAAAATGAACTACGGAACGCACAGCGGGCTGGGGGTGGGTGCTGGGAAGGGATGGAACAAGGGTCTCCGGCAAACCACGAAGGCCCTGCAGGCCAGCGCCTCCTGGTGAGAAGCAGCAGGGACCAGCGCCCCCAGAGCCGAGGACCTCAGCACCCCAGGCTAGCAACAGGGGTCGCAGGGTGCTCAGGACAGGCGAGACCGAGCTCTGCAAAGAAGCTGAATGCTCCTCCCAAACTTCGGCCCACCCGTCAGGAACAAATAAACGCTTTCTAAGTCTGTCTCTTCGTGAATCCCCAGCTGAAGTGCCTGAGCGGTGAATGCAGCCACAGCGTTCTGTGCCGGCTTGTTCCCAAGCCTGGGAGAAGCAAGCGGCCCCGTGACGGGGACAGGTCACGGCCTGGGCATGAGCTCACTCCGTGTGTCTGGGTGCTACGCCCAGGCCGCTGGGTTTCTGGGGTGGCAGAGCAGACCAGCCAACCTCACACGCCAACCTCACATGCCTACCTCACGGCCACTCGTCCGCCTTGTCCACTCCTGGCCTTTGGGATAAACATCCTGTCTCAGACACACCCTTCTCGTGCGCCGACGCCACCTGCTCAGGCCTATGCCACCTGCCTGTCCTCCCGAGCGTGCACACCCATCTGCCATCCTTCACGCCATGTCTGTGCCCCACAGAGGCCTCCGGCCAAACCACCACTGCTTGTTAACAGCTGCCATCCATACCGAGGAAGCCTCTTCCAGCCCAAGGAGTGGCTGACGGGGCTCTGCTCTGCCCTTCTTGGTCATCTTCCTGGGCCTGCAGTGAAGCTCAGCCCAGCAGCCAGGCAGCTCCTAAAAAGCCTAATGCTGGGTCTAGTCCCTGGTGACCCGAGGCTGCTGTGAGAACTTGTAACCCGAGATCAGAACAGCCTTTGGGTCCCAGAGCTTCCCGCACGATTGTGTGTGGAACAGACCAGGAGATTCCACCGGATATGGGTTCAACCTTGACCACCAACGGCACCCAGCCCAAGGGCTGCCTCCCCCGACCATGACAACCAACTCCTCCTCCACAGCGGCTCTGCCAGGCGCCCAGTCCATAAAGGGCGGCCACTGCTGGGCAAGGAGGGCCTGTCTGCCTGGGACTCCCAGGCCCTGGGGTCAGGCTGAGAGAGGAAGATGGGTGTGAGGGTGCGGGGGCAGGGGGGTGGGCCCTGCAGAGTGGTGCCTGGCCCGTTCTGCACCCACAGCCTGGGAACCCCCGGCTTTCTCACATGGGCCTCTGGGGAGCCCGCATGCCCAAGTACGGCCACATCAGAGCAGACTGCTTGGGCAGCACCTTCCCAGGCACGTCCGTGGCCTCCTCGGGCGCAGGCACTCTGCCGATGGCAGCCCCTCCTGGACGCTGAGCTGACCTCTCTAGCAGGACTCTGCTCATGTGCACCATCTGCCATTTCCACAGAAACCCTATCCCCAGAGCCCAGTGGAGAAAAAACCCTCAGGGGCCTCTCGGCTCAGGGGAGCCACACGGGAGAGGCACCCTCGTTCCAGCTGCGGAAGCAACTAAGCCTGCTGCAAACACCTCTGTGAACTCGGACAGAAAACGGTGTTAACCTGCGTTTCCTTCCAAGTCGGACCGGCGCATGTGAACTGTCTGCTAACACTGTACAATCATTCCGTGCAGTGACAAAAACAGAACTTCTCTTATTGACGAAGTGGTTTAAAAAATCACCCTGAGCCTTTTTTCTTTGCTTTTAAGCTGGAAAGATAGCTTGGTTACTTACAAAATGAAAATCAAATAGTTTTCCTAAATGAATGTAACAGTTTAAATCCTACTATTACGAAAGCAAGGAACACTGTCGAGATTAAAGAGAAATTCTGCTCCTTTTGGTAATAAACAATGTCGTGTGACACTTTGGAATGCTTGTCTCGTCTCATTACAAACCAGCGTCTTTACTGAAGTTCCTTCTGCTGCAGAGCTGTGTGATGGACACGTGGACAGAGCTGGGTGGCACGTGGAGGCTCTCCTGGCTTCCGCGCAGGAAACGTGCTGTGAGCAGGAATCTCGAGTGAGTTCCGTGGCATCCCTGCGTCAATACACGCTGGGTCCTCAGTCTCGAGTGAGTTCCGCGGCGTCCCTGGGTCAGCACGCGCGGGGTCCTCAGTCTCGCTGGCTCACCAATGGTGGCTGGGGCATGACTCCCCCAGTCCTGAGTCTCCTGGCAGTGGTGGCCAGGACATGCCTCCCCCAGCCCTGAGTCTCCCGGCAGTGCAGGCAGTGTGGGCACGGGGTTTGTCACAGCCTGTAAGTGAATGGGGGACACAAAAATCACCAGAGAGGCAGGCTCTGCCCTCCGGGACTGCACAGGCGGGTTTTAAATGCGCGCGTTCATGTAATTAAATGTCCCCGTTTCTGTTTCTCAGGAAGTGGTTACTCAATCTCTTTCTTCCCAGCCAGAGTTTTGTAAACCTGCACCTCTCACGCCTCAGTGATGCCTCTCTGAGTCCAGCCTCTACAGGCGGGTCCCTGGGTGGGCTGCAGCCAGTGGGGGCTTGGAAGAGCTCTGAAGGTTGAGACAAGGAAAACGAGGGGATGAGCAGAACTCAGGGAAGCCAGGTCACCGTGGTACCTGCACTGTGGCCCTTGGCCCTGACAGTGCGTCAGCGTCCAGCAGGGACTGCTCGTGTGCCTCGGGACACCACTGTTCAGGACCCCAGTGACCAGGCGTGGCCAGGCCGTGGATGGCACTGCTGCAGCTCTCTCGTGAAAGAGAAATGGAGGTGACCGCAACCTGCGCTGGGAGCCATCTGGGTTATGAAAACGAGATGGGCCTCCACACAACACTCTTACACTGCCCAGGAGAGCAGCGGTCACTAGCAAGTTCCTTCCACGCACAAAGGCAGGCAGGCTGAGGTCGTGATCACAGCTAGAGCTCGGCCCCTTTTCCTTTTGGGCTGGGAACCACCATCCCCTGCTCCTTCTGGAGGAAAGCAGACTCTTCTCTGATGGAAGCCATCAAGCACACGGCGCCGCCTCCTCACTCAACAGCCGAGCGCCACGTCCAGCGCGGGGTCCCACCTCGTTACCTGAACGTCATGTGGAAGGAGGCGCCTCTGGAAAGCCCCGGAGAGGGTCCTGAACATCACGTGGAAGGAGGCCCCTCTGGAAAACTCTGGAGAGGGTCTCTCTCACCAACAGGCATCTTGGCATCTGGTCCCTCAGTGACTCTGTAACTGTCACCTAGCCAATGACATCCTGCTTATACCAACTCAATTAAAAAAAAAATCAGATGTCAAATTGCAGTCAACACTACTCTCGTCTAAAAACAAACACAAACTAACTGCCTGGCAAGGATTTCTAAGCTCAATGGGTAGTTCCCTTGATGTTCATTCCACCCAACACCCCCCCCCGCCCCAACCACGAAAAAAGCCACCGCGCACGGCCAGTCCCTCCAGTTCATCCTCACACAGAGCATGACGTGCATGGGCAGCAGGGGGAGAATGGGGAACAAGATGATTCATCCTTCGAAATCCCACAAAGCCCTGCGAGGAGCTGTGGCCCTGCTGCCAAGTGGGCCGGCCAGAGCGCCTCACCTGACATGCCCGCCCACCCTGCAGTCTGGGGTCCGGGGTCAGGGGCCGTGTGGGAGGGCCGGAGCCGAGGGAAAGCCTTCCTAACAGCCAGCAGCTCACCACACCGAGGAACTGGAGGTGAATGTGGCACCGAGTATGGCGTGTCCCAGCCGCGCTGTGCCAGCAGCTCCCGGGAGACAGAGGCCCTGGGCTTTCATGCCGGCTGCTCACGCCCTATGGCGGCTGTCTGGCCACCAAGTGGTTCAATAAACTGGGCTCTAGCAGACAAAGCAGAACACAGGCCCGTGGGGTAGGCAGAGCTCTGCACAGGAATCCACCACCCTGTGTTGCGTTCTGTGTCTCCCACGGTTCCACACTGAAGGGGCGCTGCTGTTTTCATCATGGCCGTGGCAGCCACTCCATGCTGGGAGCTTGTCTGTCTGATCTCCATTGGTTCTGATCAGCATCTTTCATTGAAATCAAATCTTTAGCAACAAAAGCAAAATGCTTTCTGTATAAGAAAGTGTACAAGAAGTTTCTTCCTCAGGGCTGTCATCTTTCTTTCAACTTGGTTGATTCAAAAGTATCTTCTTCCTTGGAATCCCATTTAATTAGTTACAAGGTCCTCTGAAAGAAAATCTCTGATGACAGACAACTGCATTGAAGCCAACAAGATCTTTCCATTCCTTCCTCCAAGAGCAGGAGGGAAGAACGAACCGGCCACACAACGGGGTCCATCTTCTGGATAAGGGCCAGAGCCACAGAGCCACAGAGCCGCAGAGCCTGTGGGGGCGGGGACGCTGCTGCCTGCGCTCTGGCTTCTCAGCCCTGCCCGAGCCTCTCCCAACCAGCTCAGCCGAGAGCGTGAGGAAAGAGCCCTGCCTGCCCCGCACTCGAGACAAAGTGCCCAAACCGGCCGCCAAAGCCCGACACCGCCAACATGAGCTGCAGCCCTCGGGGGTTGGCAGGGGGGCCGGCACAACGCAAACACGAGCTGCAGCCCTCCAAGGGGGGCTACGCCTGCAGCCTCACCCGTCGGCAGTGCCACCCACACATCCGGACGCACTAGACAGGTGTCCCCACCAGGGAACAGGCAGTGCTCAGAGCCTTCCCCTTTCTGATCAGCTTTTCGGTCAAGTGACCACAGAAGCCTGAAGTGAGGTCACACCCATGGCAGCAGGCAGGGCCCTCGGGGCCAGTTCAAGTGCCACCCATCCGCCGAGGCCTCCTGAACACCTGGCTGCACCAGGGAGCTCAGCACGTGCCCCTGCTGGGGAAGAGTTGGCCAAGTGCCCCTGAGGTGATCCTGAGAGATGACGCTTCTGAAGCCACTGCCCCATGGTGACCCGGGTACTCCTGGGCCCACCTGGAGCCATGAGGACGAATCGGCCAAGGGAGCAGGGAGGCGCTCACAGCTGCTCGCTGCCAAGTCAGCTTCTAGTCCTCTCCGCTCAACACTGGTTCCGCCAGGAGGGGAGTCTCCCCACCACCCTTGTTTTGAACTCCCAGATAAGAAAAGGGACCACAGTTATGTCGGCCCATTACAGAAAGCTAAGGATCCTATATTCCCACTGTTCAAAATATTTAAGACACCTACAAAACTGCACCGGGTGTGGTTTCAGTGCTCAACTTTTGACTCCAATTATGCAAATCTGAACTGGCCTTCAGTCTTGGACTGGAGCAGGCCTCGGGTGGGGGTTAGCGCACCACAGCCTTTGGGGGCAAGGGCGCTGCAGCGTGGGAGCCAGGAGGAGCTGGCTGGAGATACCTGGTGGCAGCCATATAGGGACACCGGGAGCCCTCGCCCTCCGGCCTCCCATCCTGTCGCTTTGCAAATGCTAATCCTAAACCCTAAACCCGACAGGGACCACCAGGGCCTCACCAGAGACCATGCGGGGGCACGGGGGCTCCCAGGAGTGAGGCCGCTGCACATGAGGGACCCCCACCAGGAGATCCCCGTGTGGAGTCGGCCAGTGGTGCCGTACATGAAAGAGAACAGGGAAGGTGTGCACTGGCCCTGGCCTGCTTTTCAGTTTCCAGACGTCAAAGGCTGATCCCGAGTGTGAAGATGGATGGGGGTGTGAAGATGGATGGGGAGTGTGAAGATGGATGGAAGTCAGGGCCCTCTTCTGGTTCTGTAGAAGGAAAGGCTCACAAAGCACAGCTTATTCCGGGGTTTTGGGTGCAGAAACCTGCTTCTCGAGGGTCCTTCGTGTCCAAAGTTCCACCCTCCAGTGTGGGGCAGTCTTGCCCTAGGCCAGCCCTGGCCCGGGGCAGAGGCCCCAGGAAGACTGGGTGTGCCTAGGGCCGCACAGAAGAAAACCTCCGTGGTGGTCTTGTTTCAAGTCCAATTTATTTTACACAACACACAGGCTGCTGAGGGAATCCACCCACACTGCACTCAGTTGAACTTCTGGCCCAGCGCCGCATCAAAGACTAAATCATGGGAGAAAGTTCACGCCCTGGCCTGGGCCACCCACCTTCAGCTCTCTCCTGTGTGTCAGGGCACAGGCTGGCCCCGAGAGCTTCACCCAACACGGCTGGGTCCTGGGCGGACGTGGGCACAGCACTTGCCAGGTGCCCCTGGAGGGGGCTCTTCTGATACGCAAAGAGGAAGGAATGAGAGAGAAACACATTCAGCCGAGGGGGATGCCTGTGCAGGGAGGGTAGAGAGAACACAGGGTTTTCAGGGAAGACCTCATCAAAGAGCCCACAGGCACGCTGCACTCATCAGCAAGCTGCCGAAATTACTCCACATACCGTTTTTAAGAATTTAAACTTGCCTCAAGGCATCTACAGAACAAAGCTGAATTCTAATAAAAATCCAATAAACATGAAAAGCCTTTCACCAACACCCAGCAGCCACACCACCCGTGAGCTCCAGCCCGCTCACCTCAGTCCTCCGCACCGCTCTCCTCTCCGCTGTCTTCGTCCTCATCCTCATCTCCACCCTCAGCACCTTCAACCTCCTCACTGTCCTCTTCCGAGTCTGTCTCCTCCAGCCACTCCTGAGCTTCTTCAAAAGCAGAATGAACACACACAGATGTCAGCGCAG